AAGTTTGAACTTGAACTACGTTCAACTATCTGTTTAAATTGAGCCAAGCGTTCCTATAAAACAAAATCATTAACTTGAATTCCAACATGAATATATGTAGAGCTCTGAATTTTCCACCTCCCTGCTCTTACAACCTCGTCTTGTTGGCTGCACGCGTACTAGTTTTCTTGTGCATTGCAAGCCTTTCACGTGGCTCCTTTTTCCAACTGGTCTGAGGGTTCGGCTGAATCATCGTTATCAACGGTCTGAACGTGTTCGAGTCCTAAATTGACGCTCCACGCAATCGAGCGCTTCATAAAATTCAGTGGTCCTGACAACGTGTCAGGAACCTGTCGGGATGGTCAGACCAGTGTGAAAATAACCTAATCGACGGAATCAGCGTATGAGCGGAAAAGACATCTGCCTCACTAGAGTCGTTATTCAGTCGCTCAGTGGCTCGTTCCTGATTCCTGAGTGCGTTCGATGACACTGGCAAAATTTTCTTCCCATATGCTTATGAAGCACCTTATTTCCAACTCGAGTTCGCTACGGATGCACTAGCCTCTACCGCTGGTAGGTAAAAGATAGTAAGCTACGCTGAGGATTAGTGGATTTCCCATGCGAGCGGCAAAAGGGTTTCTTCAAGTTTTGCAAGACTTGGCCGCGCAGCGAACCGATAGTGGGAAGGGTGCAGGTCGTGCTGCTATCGGTTCGCTGTGCGGTTTGACCCGTGAACTCTGACACTTCATAATGTTTGCAAGTTGTTGACACGGAATTTTTTCGAATTGTTCTGACGTTTTCTATTATTGACATCAGAATCACCCCCTCTAAAGTGTTGGGACCAATATCATAAAGTGAGAGATTACGAAAGTGGGAGTGTGCCAGGGAAGTGTATGCATCACTGGAAGTAGTAGTGGACCGGCAAAGGAAGTGATATGTTGCGTTCGCACATGCAAAGGTGCACTAGTTGCGGCGCACTAGGGCCGCTACCGCAGTCTGAGCTCCGCCTCGGCCTGTGCCCCTCCCCCAAGGTGAATAACGGTGGAGGATTTCCTCGACCAGAGCTCTCTACCATGCGAGAGTAGTGCCGAGAGTGAACATCCGTGCGGAGGGCACAGACAGCACAAGCATGGCGAGTGTGAATGTCCGCGCGAGAGATCGTGTCTGATCGGGCAGAGAATCCTCGACGTGCCGTCGAGGAATCCTCGAGCGATATTCACCCTGCCCTCCCCCCTTAATTTGGATGGTGAAGGCGTGGTGCTTGTGAGTGGCATTCTCAATCGCGGCGTGGTTTGAGTGCTCTGCCTTGCGCAAGTTGGGGCTCGTAGGGTGAAATAAGTCAGCTGCTGGATAATGATTATTTCGTGGGATTGGCACTTTCCTCTTGTTTAATAAGTTCTTTGTTAAAATTTAGTTATCTAGTCATGGAAAAAACTTGTGGTCACGCCTATCATCTCATTATGAATCGGTGCGTGCGTTGATTGTAAGAGAGGTTTTTGATGAGCACCGAAGGTGAATAGAAGCAAAACGAAGAACGATGTTTTAGAAAAGTGAGCTTGATTGCCCCCACAGGCCAGATAACGTTAGGACGCTTAGATGTAATTAGTCATTACAGGTCGTTTACCCAAATGTAGCCACTACCAGAAAATGTGAATCTAGAGGTGGTTCTAGTCAGACGACACAAGTGACGACAAGTGCCATTTGTCATTGATCTCACTTCCATGAAGTTGAACGTGTTGATAATTTGAATGTGTGGATAAGATTGCATTGTGTACCAAGACCAAATCTATATTTATTCATCTAATTCACCTCAGCTAATCATATTCATGTCGCGACTTACTGATCATTTGCGTATGCGGCCGGGTTCTTCCTGCCAACTTCCTGCTAGTTGTTCTTCTTGGCCCGTAAATCAGATAGGCACCGATACATCGTGGTAGGTATTACGGCCACTCGTGCCATACGTAATTCTTCACTACCCGGTAATCTTCTTGAAAGCCTAAATGGCGTGATGTCAGACTTAGCGACTTGGAGCGATTTTGCACCAATTGCAGGAGCGACGGGAGATTTACCTGAGCGGCGCCGAGTTATCGATGGTCGGCGGGGTAAATCTCCCGTCGCTCCTGCAATTGGTGTAAAACCGCTCCAATCGCAAAGTCTGACATCAGCCATTTAGGCTTTCAAGAATTACGTATGGCACGAGTGGCCGTAATACCTACCACGATGTATCGGTGCCTATCTGATTTAGTCTGACATCGGCCAATGAGACCGAGCATAACAGGGATACGTACAACATAAATATGAGATCAGCTCAGAAGGGCAAGCGAGTGATAACAGTAATGAGAGTGATACCTTGACTCGAGGAATCCATTGAACGCCTTCTGCTTGTCCAATGTCAAAGCGAATCGGTATTCACCATACATCTAATCACATTAAAAATCAAACACTAACAATTTCCATCAGAACTGAGCCCTAGAGAGTTTCAAGGTCAACCCGCGAAAACTTGGGATTAAGAAATGAACGATGAAACAGAAAGATGTTCACCTTGCTGAGCGCTCCGAAGTGTTTGCTCATAGAAACCGCGGAGGCCCACATGTTGAGGAGCTGCGCGAATAACAGAAATTATTAGTTCTTTAGTTCTGGCCGTTTTCAATAATTCAAGTTTCATGACATTATTTCTGGCTAAATTTTGGGCAGACTGCACGACTTGCATATCATTAGGAAGCGCGTTTTTTGCCCTATCCAACTGCGCTGTAAGCTTTGCTCCAGAGCGTCAACACCCACTTTTTCAAGCCTTGAATGCAACATGCTCACAGAGCGAATCCTAGCGATTTTCTTCTACTACCTCGAATTAGGGCAGAAAGGAGCGGAATCAGCTCAAGATATAGACTATTCGTTCGGCCACGCATCCGCAAAGAATAACACATGATGCGATAGTCCGGAAAGCTTGTGTACATATTGATGGCGATAGCCTCGAAGTTGACGAAGGTGATCGTTGCATGTCAGACTTCAGTAAAAATTAACTGAAACATTTGATGGCACCAAATGTGCTTGAACCAGTACAGAAGACCTCTGCCAAATTGGGCATATTTGATTTGTGGTTTCAAGTTACATAGGATAGCTTAAAAAGTACGAAAAAGTCGATAAGGAGGTGTCGCGAAAAATCCGTAAGGCCGTTTGCTGCCCTTCTTCTGCATCTTCAATCCAATGAAAATGACCCGTTTTTTTTCGGATGGTGAGATGCAATCTTCTTAAAAACCTATGAGCTTCGGCTGAGTAGTCCGATCACGACTACGACCTAAATTTTGCAAAGGTGGAGCTGCATGAGGCGAAGGTTGTTTTGCCTGTTACGCGGTCTAGAGCAGGCGCAGTTTCTCGAGCACAAGCGAACTGTTTTAGCTGGACAGTATCCTTTGCATAGTGGCCAAATATCCCGAAATCTTGACAGTTGCACCCAGCAAGGGCTGCCATAAAGGGCCGACTCTTTTCCGTACGCACCTCAGGAGTCAACTGTAGTATATGGGCAACCTAAGTCAGTCTTACTGTATCATCCAAGTTTAGATAACTTGTGAGTAATATCTCGGATTGAGATGGGGCCGCGTGCAGGTTGTAAAAGTGCATGCAGGTGCAGACTAGTATCCCTAAGTGTAACCTTAGGCACTTGAGATTCTCCCCTATGACCGTAAACTAAGCCACGCCCTCATCTACTGTCGATCCGTCTTCTGATCGAGCTGATCAGTTAGTTTGGAGTTCTGCCGAGCTCACGGAATGTGAGCAGATCGGTATCTCTCGCAATACGAGAGAGTGAGATCGTTCATGAGATCGTTGCGGACGATTGGGTGATCAACTCTACGTGGTAGAAGGCTCCCCCTGACTCCGAATCGTTGCCCGATGCGAGCTTCGTTCTCTTCATCAGTTGAGGTCTTGGATCTTTCCCCGCGTGGAAAGCAGTTGTGCAGTACTTCGTACAAGACGACTACAGATGCACGTTGGCTCAAGCGTGATCGTACAAGATGGCACGGCTGAATGGCGGACAGTACTCCTTTTCCTAGCCTTGGTTGAAGCCTAGAATCTACAGTAGTAGAGAACCTTTGTATGCCTATTGCTTGGCTGGTTGCGCAATCATCTTTTGGTATATAGATGCAAATAATTGGGTAATTACTAATAGTGTATTGTGTCATTAATGGAACGCTGTAAATTTTTTGTCAGCCAGCTGTATGAATATAATTGGTTAATTACTAATAGTGTATTGTGTCATGTAATTGGGAACGATAAATCGTCACAGCTGTTGCATAACACCCACTACTGCCACGAAACTTTGGAGCTCTTCGCGGTCTCAACACGACCGCAGAACCGACTCTGCAAAAATTAGCTAAAGTACTGAGCTATTTTCCAAACTTGTCATTCTCTCGACCTCCTACCTATTCACCACATATTTTTTTCAGCGGTCTGGATAGCACCTTTAAAGGAGAAATGCTACGAAATCTAATATGATGGTGAAACGACCTTCGCCGAGTTCATCGCCTCTAGAACACCGCTACTTCCAGTGAACGGATTAATCAAACACATGAAATGTTCGCAAGGAAGAGTAGATCCAACAGGTTTCATTGCGATCGCAAATTGCGTTTGAGTTGAGATATGTACAATTGAACTTCAGGGTCCGCAACGTCCAGAACTTTCCTTACAGCCTGATAGTAAAAGAAGATGACGAATGGCAATAGGCAATACACGCAATAAGCGCGTTCAAAATCAAGGCTAAAATATGGAGTAAACCAAAAGGTGTCAAAACCTTTGCAACAAGGAGCAACCATAACTTTTCGCGATACTTTTTATTGAGAACATCTATGCTCATTTTACGGTTTTTACTACATTTGAATTAACTTATTCGCTGGCTGCGAATCCATCGGAAGGTTCGAGACGGAACAGTTCTGGGTCTTCTTTTTGTGTCTGAAGCTTTTCGTCACGTGTTCGCGCTTCCACTCATATCCAAACTTCGGTGTAGGCACTGGTAGACCGAAATTCGCTTATGGTCCTTTGTTCACTTGAACTGCATCGTGTTGTCTAGAACAATATCGGTGATATAAAAGGTACAGAACCGAAGAAAGGATGGACGCTGTGAATATGATTTACAAATACGAGGGTGTTAGTTTGAAGCACTAGAGATTAACAAAAAACCACGCAACGGAATTTCCAACGCTTTTTAATTTTTTCATGAAGAAACACTTACGCAAGAAATTCAGCAGTGGGCTTTCCGAACTGAGCATGATGTCCATCTGATGCATAGGGCGGTTACATTGGCTTCACCTACCTCACGATCGTCCCTAAAAGTCATCAGAAAATGGTAAAAAAACCGGGAAATAAAAGAAGCGCCAAAGAAGATGGCTGGAGATGACACCATCCCTATTGTAATAGATATTTTCTGACATAATATGATGATTTCCACCAGGCAATGTTGGTTGCTCTGTGGAGCAGGACGAGCGGATTATGTTTTGGGGAACCGTGACGGGTCATGATAACGAGCCTGTAATAGCCGAAATTCCACAGAGTCATGCGTGTTCTCAGAGCAAGAAATGAAAGGGAGAGGTGAGGACGGATAAAGCTGTAGAATATTTAAGTTACATATAAATGATAATTAGTAAGGATGATAAAACGGAAATAATGGAACATTCTGAGGAGAAGAATCGAGTAGGAAACCAGTTTCGCGGACGAGGTATAAGTGGATGTGGCCAATTAGGACAGAATGCGACTTTTCCGCTGTTCGCAATGCGATTTTTCGCGAAAAAATCTGCGGTTCTCGCGCGGAATTTTGGCACTGCGAAAAACTGCAAAGTCGCTTCTGATCTAAAAACCGCATCCGAAATGATTAGGCGTTAGGTAAGCTAAACATGAATGTTATATAATCTCTGGATATCGACAAAGGTTTGTGGAAAGCCACGGCATAGGGAAGGGTCAAAATAGGAAGTCCGAAGCAAAGCAGTATGTCTAATATAATATATCAGGAGACCTCATGCCCTTCGGAGACTTTAAACTAGGTCAATGTTAGGAGACACTGGGCTAAGTTTAGGAGAGGGGAGGAACACAAGACATACAAATCGCACTTATTCTCCTCTAAAAATCTCCCTGAATTATTGCTAGGTACTGAAAAGATCACTTGAATGGACCCAATCCTCCCCCTCCCAGGCCATATGTGCCCATTTGTATGGTAACCGAAACTGAAAATTGATTGCAGTGAAACATCTTTCAATGATAACAGTGAAAGAATCAAAATAACCACAAATTCGAAAAAGTCAAAATACCTTTTTGTCAACTGTTGGAAGCTCAGGAGGCGGCGTGATTGTAACCTGTCTACAACGAACAGCTGTCTGTCTACTTATCGAGCACCCATCGCCGAAGTGGCGCGTTTGTAGGAATGTGCACTGTGCGGCCGTGATCTTGCGACCGCTCAGCGGTGCTTAAACAGTTTTTCAATAAGACTGAAAAATTTCATGATCTCATAAATTAGGTCATCATCACATATTGAGGCCTGACCATCTCCTGTGAAGCCAAAAAGATGCCCATGGAAGGTTTGAACACCTTCGAAATCCACAAGTAAGCTCACCAGCGTTGTTTAAAAATTAACGATAGGATGTGGTGGACCCCGGGATCAAGATCACCTCACCTTGGCATGGAAACATTCAGAGCTTCATCCGTCATGAGCTTCACAGGAGATAGATTCAGCAAGCGTCACGACACATAAGTTTTTCAAAACTGTTACGGGTGTTTTTCAAAGTTTTATTCCGAAGAAAACGAGGTTCTTTCAGCTTCAATAAACTCGGCACAACTTTCAACGGAGAAATGACTCTCCTGAAAACATACATGTATACCGGTATTTCAGAGGTTGGAAAAGACACTGGAAAGAAGCACTTACTAGTGATCTCACGACCACGCGCAGCTACCCCGTAACTTGCCCGCACCTCATTCGGCACGAACCTCTGGTGGCATTGATAAAGGTGCTCAATAGCAGGGTTTGTCCACAAATCTTCCTATGGAAAGATTTGGAAAATATGGCCATTCCTAATTCCTGCGCCATCGTTGTAGCTCCTGAACGTGTGTTCTTCATGCCTCTGCAGCCCCATACTGATAATTTCATGACTTAAAGCGTAGCCCAGTCTGGTAATTATGGCAGCAACGACAGCGGCTACGTTTTCCCTCAGTGACTTTTCGGATGAGAGGCAGTGCGCTCTTGACTCTCCCATCGTTTTACGGATGAAGTGAAAGGGTCGCATCGTATACAAACAAATTTTAGAAGCGCAGCAGTGCCCACGCCTACAAGCTCCGTTTCACTGAATTTTTGTCACATTGGGGACAGAACTGGAACAGCTGCATCAATTGTAGCCCTTTCACAAGGAAACACTGGTCGAGTACAGCTGGTTTAGTGGCCTGGAGCAAGGGCTCATAGGTGGATCAACCTGTCGAGGAGGAATCCGAATCCTCAGAAGATTGGTCGTCGGGGACATTGTTAGCCTCTAGGTAGTTAGCACTCTGTACATTCATTTATTCTATAACTATTTTTCCAACTCCCATTACAACCAACCACTTCCGAGCAAGAATCGGTCGACTCCTTATCTAGATCTTTTCCCGCGGATTCCTGAGCGTCTCCTGCTAGCTTCCTGGGTTCTCTTGAACGTTCATCACCGTCAGCGCCAACATGCACTACTCAACCTACAGCAGGATTCAGAAAACACGCTTTGGTAGAAACCTGTTCTCATACCTCTTCTGTGACTGGCCTTTACATAGTAGCGTTTCAGTGCATCGTTGAGGAACCTGCTCACATCACGGGATGTGATCGAAGCACTACCCCTAACGTAGACTCATTGATGCAGTCCAAACTTCTGCCATCCTGGTCGAGACATCTACCAGATGTCTAGGTATGTCTCCGTCCGTTACAGACGCTGTCCGGCCATCAGCACCACGATCACAAAAATGGGAAAATCGAAGATCTTCGGCTAACGCTATTTCCGCCATGGAGTATTGAGCTTGTTCACTTTCACTGACTGCCCACGAGCAGGTCATATGTGTTTCACTTACCGCATGTACAACGTAAATATGACAAATTTTTAACTTCGGTCTCGTCATGGACTCAGCAAAAAAAACGTGCGCTCTCACTGTCCTGTTGACCGGCCATTGATTAGGACACTTACGGGGTCATGTTGGTATTTGGCCATCGGAGTGTACCTCCCTTCCACTTACAACACATGCCCACAGATCACACGCTTCATTTCGAAAAATTCGCTGCAATGCTGCCTACTCGCTCAATTCTAAACTCTAATTCAACCGTCACAACAAAATTATCCTTCGATAACCGCGGCTAAGGCTGGCTCTGCTAATGACAGCAGTTCCTTGGTAAGCATCACGTGTGGTAAATACGATATGTGCATCATCCCGTAAGGGTGTGGGGCGATGATCACTATCGCATACAAATTTCAACTTTTGCAAGAAACTGTACGTGGAATGTCTGAATGTGGTGATCGCATAGCAAACGACTCGTACCGGTTGGGCATTAATGCAATAGCACAGCAGGATCAAAACAGACACCGAATGCCTTCCTACATTATGATTTTCTCCATGCTGTAGCCTCCAGAACAGAGCAGGTGCCACCATTCTGATACCGCACGGTGAACAAGGACAGGGCGATGTATCCCGATTTGGGGAATGATTTGGGTATAGGTCGCTTACATTCAAGACTCTTCGTAGCCTAGCTGGTTAGATTCAGAAGTCCTTGCACAAAGTTGCGGTGTGAGGTGCAGAAAAACGGCACGAACTTATGGGACAACCTAATAATATTGTATGCGCGCATTAACTGTACACAAAAAAACGAATGAAATGAAAATGCCCCTCTACCTTCCTGAGTAAGACCGTTGAATGTGTTCCAGAGAAAACATGTGCCAATTAATTAAAGGCAAAATGGAGGGAGAAATAACTGCCAACATCGGCACAGTGCAGGGTTGGACTGGTCTGAATGGGGGTCATGGGACATGGAACGCCATTTCAAATGCATGATCTACAGTAGCGGTCAAAAGTGTTTGCCAAAACGGTTTCACGTAGTTCTCTTTCCGTCTGGCAGGAAACGTCAAAGGTAATCTCGAGACTTTGCTCGTGAGTACGTTGAATATTCAACTATAAAGGGTATAAAAACACTAGAAAGCATAGCATGTGAATCTTTAGAGCGTATTGCTCTAATGAGAAAAATAGAGCACGAAAAATGGTTTCGGCGAACACTTTCTACCGCTACTGCATATTCGATGTCAGCGATAAATTCAACATTTCGTTGAAATGTGAAAGGTACAAAGTGGAATTTTTCGAAAAAAATCGAAACAATAAACTTATGAAAAGCAGTAAGACATAGTAAAACGAAACAAATTACAAATTAGAACTGGAAAATTATAGGAAACAATCAAACATGGTAACACTCACCATCCTTCATCGTTTCCATTCGTATCATTGAATTCCGCGAGACATTCTCCTTCTGCAGCTTTGCCTGAAGAACACCTCATGCCGGATTGGAAGGCACGAAACCCGGTGAACAGCTGGGAGAAAGCACTGAGGCACTTCACCGACGATGACTCTTAACATCAGATGTGTGCTCCACTCCGCTGGCTCTTCAAAAACAGCAGGCTCTGAAAAGATTCGGTCATTCCTAGTACATCAACTCCGAATTTCGTTAAATTTCCGCAGATTGGAATGAAATTAGGGAAGCTGGAAAACTCCAAGTCTTCAGCTCCTTCCGAACGAAGCTTGCCACAATTTCATCGAACGCTCTTGTATCTAACGTTTTCGCTACTGGAGTTTAACAAAAGTACAAGCATGCGTACTCTGCATAGTGCGGAACGTTGCATACACTAAAAGCAGTTTCTTTGGACTATATGCAGTAGTCCCCAGCGGGTTGGGTCCCCGTTCCCTGTAAGGGAGACATATCATCAGAATTAGATAGTCGTTCTCGGCCATGGGCAAATGCGCGGACTCGACCACGAGCTGCTGCGACGGCCCGAGACAGCGTGGCCCGGTCCAACCACACAACGTTTCAAAGGAATCAGAAATTAATAAAAAGCGACCTGAATACGTATAAATTCAGCGATGCAAGAAATCGTCAAATCCCAAAATTGTGAAGGACCTAACGGTGCCTAGCTTCCCCATAAGAATGCACTACATTAATCACAGACTTGTTTGCGCAGTCGTGCTGCAGATATTTTCGTTGCGGTATCTGGGCCCTATTTAATCCTCCCTCAAGGGGTTGAAGGGACAAAAAACTCTTTGAATTTTTCATGTGTCCCAACTGGGATTGCCGTGGTAAAGGGCCCACGTCTAGTGTATGTGTGAATGCCAAAGTAAGCATGCATTGAAAATGAAGAAACTACATCATCAATAACCAGTTTAGCCGCGCACGCATTCGCGTGCATCACACAGTTTTGCGGCGATGTGGATTGGAACGGCGTGTATTCTCAAACTTTTCTCGGTACACTACCAATATTTCATAGTGCCATAGCGGATCTTCGCGCTAACCACTTCGATGCACTAATCGCATTTCACCCTGCTAGCTTCTGTGCCCTTCTTCTTTAACTTTAGTCCCCTTTCCCGGTCGCCGGGACTTCTAAGAACCTAGTTGTTAATTTCGTAGCAAACTCCACCTACTTTCAGGCACGTTCCGCCCGACAAAATCGATTGACCCCATATCCTCCGCTAACCCTTATCCACATTATTCCCGGTTGCCTAGACCTCTTTGAACCGAGTTGTGAGAGTAGTGGCAAACTCCGCCCACTTCAGGGTGTGCCATGCCCAGCGTTCACACTCAACCTCTACACTTCTTCTCACCTCTATGCATATTTTTTTCAGGTCTCTAAGTCATCTCGGAGCACAATTATGAGGTCTTGTAGAAGACGTTATGAGTCATGAGTTTCCGTGGCGAACCCCGCACACTTCGGTGCAAGCTTAAGCCACCAATACGCGTTTACCCCTTTCCCTCCGGCAACCCTTGTCCACATTTTCCCGGTCGCCTAGACTTCTAGGAATCCGAGATCGTGAGAGCGGTGGCAGACTCCGCCCACTTCGGGGTGTGCCATGCCCAGCGTTCATTCTCAACCTCTACTCCTCCTCTCATTTCTATACACAGTTTTTCAGTTTTCTAAGTCATCACGCAGCCGAATTATGAGATCTTGTAGGGGATGAAATCGAGCTACGTATCTTTGTGGCAAAGCCCGCCCACTTTGGTGCATGCCTCGCCCACCGATATCAATTGACTAACATCTCTTCCCTAACCTCCTTCTATTTTTTCCCATCTCCGGAACTTATTGGAACCGAGTTATGAAGTTTCGTGGCAAACTCCGCCCACTTCAACGAATGCTTCGCCCACCAACAGTAGTTGACCCCCTATCCCTCTGCCAACCCTTATACGCTTTTTTCCCAGACTCCGGGACTCCCAAAACCGAGTTATGAGGCTGGTTGCAAAGTCCGCCCACTCTGATTTAAGCCACGGCCAGCCTGACGTTTAGCTCTCCCTCCCCTCCTGACCTATGTCCGCTGTTCTCCGGTCTCTAAGTCATCTCAGAGCCGATTTATGAGCTCTTGTAGAAAACGCTATCCGCTTCACGACACGGTCCGTCCATTGTGGGCGGGCCTCCGTTCACTTCATGTGTTCTGGAAATACCTTAGGCATTGCTCCCCTGCACTAATTTCTCTTCTGCTGTGTAGGCTTTCTCCTAACCGAGTAATGAATATTTTCACTGAGCATCGCTTTTTTAGAGAACACCCCGCCCATCGAGGGTGGGTCTCCCCATTTCAACCTGGCTTACCAACGCACACCTACGCCTACTTTTGTCCCCAGTCTCGAGGCTGTTTTGTTACTGAATTCGAAATAATGGTCCTCAGTACCACTCATTTCGACGCACGCCACGCCCACTGTGGGTGGTGCTCCGCTCAGGTATTGTATGTTTTTTATATCTCGAGATATGGTACACCAATCTCTTGACCAGGACCCAGAAGGTTGTTGTTCGCTTGATACGGAATTTTGACAGACGGAAAGACAGATGGACAAACAGACTTAGCGCATTATATAAAGTAGGGATAATTCAATAAGCGATGTAGAGGATGAGGAAAACAGTAGCGCAACCTTACTTGGAGGTTTTCCATCAACATGACGTGGATTTCATTTCTCTAAGGTTTCTCTCGTAACAGCCCATCCAGAATCCAGCGTTGATCCGTTTGACACAAACGGAGATACCTAAAAAGTGACGAATCACTACATCAAAGTAGCCAAAACGAGATTAAGAGGAAAGAAAGTGTTTAGAGGCCAACTTTAGACTGCTGTCTACTGTTACCCTAACCTACCAATTATTTTTATACGGCTGAAGATTTGTTTTTCATATTTGGAGGATCTCAACTGAAATTTGTTATGGTTCACAAGTTCTACATGACAAGCTTGGACTGAAAAACTTCCATAACAACGCGTCAGAAACTGTCCTA